GATATATTCCTTATGTATGGCAAGCCGATTGTAGCAATATTCAATAAAGGAATATTTCAATTCAAAGAGCCTATTTTAGTTCAATTCAACGAATAAATTTTGGTTCAATACGGTATTTTTTGGTTCAGCATCCGATTTTGCATTCAATGCGATTGCTTCTTCAATTCAACAGCACATTTTGCGTTCAACATTTTCCATTTCGTTCAAAGCGATTTATTTTCGTTCAAAGATTCATTGCACAGCGGTTGACCGAAACAAATTCGTCCCCAGTCTTCATAGAATTCTCACTGGCCTTTATAGCCCGCCATTTTGAAAAACAACGAGCACTTGTCTTGCCTTCATGATTCATAATAATGTCTTTACAATCAGATTTTAATGCTGACGAGGACCTATCAACATTTCTTCACACAGTTCTGGACAAAGCAGAACAGTCTTTACATGAAAACTGCTCCTCAGATAGCTTGCAAACGCAGACGGTTGTCGATCAAACGATTAGCTTGCTTCGAACCTTGGCTGAAAATGATAATGACTTCCAGGATACATGGAGCTCCCTTGCAAGTGCTTTTTATGATGTTTTCCAATGCTTGCAGGAGAGAAATTTAGATCTAAACAACAGGCCAACTTCTGTTGCTCAAGTGTTAGTTGCCTCTATGTACACAGGAAGAGCTGGACGTCCATCATTTAAAATTCCACAAGAAATGCTAGAGGACCTTAGAGGTTTCGGTTTTTCGTGGCAGAAAATAGCGGATATATTGGGGGTGTCGCGATGGACTATCTACAGGAGAGTTCAAGAGTATGGTCTAAAATCTATGAGTGATTTCAGCTTGATGTCTGATGGAGAGTTAGATAACATAGTATCAGAATACATGAATCAACATGGCAAAACAACAGGGCAGTCATACATTACTGGGTACTTGAGGTCAAAAGGTTTGAGAGTACAAAGGAGTAGAGTACGTGAGAGTATGGCAAGGCTAGATCCTGAAAATGCAGCATTGCGCTGGGGTGCAGTTGTAACACGAAGGACTTACCTCGTGCCTTGGCCTAATTCCTTATGGCACCTTGATGGGCACCACTCTCTCATTCGCTGGGGGCTAGTTGTTCATGGCTGCATAGATGGCTTTTCTAGACGAATAATGTTTCTTCATTGCAGTCCAAACAACCTATCAGAAACTGTACTATCCCTTTTTTTAGATGCTGTTGAGAAAGATGGACTGTGGCCTTCCCGCATTCGTGTTGACAGGGGGGTCGAAAACGTTTTGGTTTGCGATGCCATAGTAGATGCAAGAGGGGCAGGTAGGGGCAGCTTCATTGCTGGGCCTTCCACCCACAACCAAAGAATAGAACGGCTGTGGAGGGATGTGTTTCGTTGCGTTATGCACTATTTTTATTATCTGTTCTATGCTTTAGAGGATTCTGGGAATTTAAACATTGAAGATCCTACGAACATGTTTGCACTGCATTTTGTATTTCTTCCAAGACTTAATAAAGCACTTCATGAGTACCAGGAAACCTTCAATCATCATGGTATCAGAACTGCTAACAGTTGGTCTCCATATCAAATGTGGATGAATGGAATGCTTCATGATGATAATCCGCTATCACATGGTGGCCTTGATGAAGACCCAGATGACCTGGTATTCTATGGCCATTACCCACAGGGACCTTCCCCATTTGATGACAGTGATAATAATGTCACAATATCTCCAATCGAGATACACAAACAGGATGAGGTTTTGCAGATTCTTCAACAGGAAATAGATCCATTGAAACCCTCTACAGACATGGGTATAGACATTTACATTGATGCCTTGGACCTGGTAAACCAAGTTCTACACATGTAATAAACTGTTTTCCTGTGAGATTGCACAGCATATTATCAGATTTTTAACTAAAATGGGATGTACAGGGCCAGAGTAGGATAAAACCAGAAAAATTGGGCATGATAATGGTGTTATTATTCATGTCAATGATAGCACAAAATCTTGACAAAAATTGCGTATTCCAATTGTGAAGCCATTTTTTAATATGACACACACTACTCTGGAGTGACTGTAGTGTTATTAAGCCTGGCGTTCACTATGATGCAAGCATAAGTGAATGAAAGCAAAGAAAAATGTATCCTGTGAGACTTCATGGGACAAAAGGATGGTGTTTTTCTTTGTTGCTAATGATAACAATAATAATCATCATCATCGTTCCCTCAAGATTACTTTCCCTATTGACTTTGCCTATGCTAAGCGTTATGTGGATGTCTTATGTTTATGTCTATCTTATGTCACATGCTTGACTTCATTCCTTTGTGCCCTCCTTAGTATTCTGTTATTCTTATCCTTCCAACGTAGAATTTGGCCATTTGCCCTGATGAAGGGCAAGTTGCTCAAAAGCTAGGCTTAATGTAGGAGTAAATGCTGATGAAACAAAACAAATTAAAATCAGAGCGAGCACTATACCCACCTAAACTAGTACTTCTATAGTCTTGCAGTCATTGATCCAATTGTCTTTACTTTTGCAGTAATGCAGTTCTTGACCACATATTTTTTGTACAGTAACTGAGACAACAGTAGATGCATAATTGACAATATTACCATGTATTTAAGCGATCTTTATTAATCACATGTACCACAGAATAAAAACACCAATAAAAGTCTATTTTTTTGAATTTTTCAAAGTGCTCCCACTCAACCAATGAGCATAATGTAGTACTAAATAGTTTTAGTTCCTAATAAATCTTTTGTTTTCTTCTAATTATCAATACTTAGTAAAATAGTGCTGTTTGTTTCATTGGCTTAATGCAAGCACTTTATGAAAGGGAGTAAAATAAAAAGCAAGAAGCACTTTTTTGAATATCATAGACGTCATTATATAAAGTTCTTCACAACATGATGAAATAAAGTGTATATTAAAAGAACAAATATCGAATTTAAATACATGGAGAAACACAAACTCGGGAAAAATCTGACTCCCAGATGGGATTTGAACCCGACCCTCCATGATCTAGTCGGATGCTCTAACCACTACCGGAGACTCAATAGTGAGCAAGGGCCAGTCTGTGGGTCTTACATGGCAACACAGCCAAGTTCTGACTGGCACATGTGAACTCACTAACAGCATGCTGTCACATTAAAGGAGCACAGTCACGGCTAAACAGTTTGAAAAGTTTGCAATCCGTGTTAGTCTTCTATATTTAACCATCCTTGTTCCTTTGTGGTATATTATTGTCTTGGTGGTGTTTTTCTATCATAAGTTTGTGAAGTCTTATTTTTCAGGTTTCCTTGAGTTAAACGGTAATTTTGCTAATGGCCAACATAACTCAAAATACTGTGACTGAGCTCCTTTCATGTATGAATTCACTAACAACATCACAGTGTCACATTGAGGCATATCTAAATGTGACCACTCCACCTCCAAAGTGATTTTTTTCCGAGTTTGAGTTTCTCCATGAAATAATATGTACATGTACATTGTATATTGAAATTCTTAAACTGTAACAATTTCTTCAGTGATAAACCTATTATCTTCAATGTATATCTGACTGTATTCGCAGAGCATGTCCGCAGTTGACTCTAGGACAGTCCCAGTGGCCAGGAGTGTTCTGACCACCCTGTGGCTAGGAGAATCCCCCCCACGCAAGCACGTGACAGGGGTGTCTCTAGCCGGGGGCCATGTCAACAAAGAACATTCAAGCAAGCTAAAACAACTCAAGAAACTCATTATTTGTCACTCAAATGGCCAAGTCTAAATAAGAGGAGGTGTCCGTATGAGACACCCTCCCCTGCCCCCCCTGCAAGCCACCAGCAGATAGTCCATGGACTGGGCCATTCACCTGAGCCAGCCGTGACGACAACCTGCAGGCATATTCTTGCGAATATGGTCAGATATATATAATATATTAATAGTCCTTTGTAATGAATATCACAATACCTTGTTCTATGCTCTTGACATCTATAGTACTATTTTTAAAATTGGCATTTTTTAATATTTGTATTAATTATTGTGCAGAACATTTGCTGTTGCCAACAACCAAAAACAAACAGAAATAATAACTATGATCCAGACATAAAATCTGCTATTTACTTAGTGCCAAAAAATGTGTTAAGAAATGCCATATCATATAAAGAGAAAAGCACTTCAGTGGCAGGTAGCTGTACATTCAGTGCTGGCCTTGGCAACCTGAGACAGCCAATACAGGTGTTTGCAGAGGGCAAAAAAGAATCTTGCACCTCATGGAATTGAATGCTAGGATGAATGTGGAAACCAAGAACAGGTTCCTCATCTGTGCCAGTCACAAATGTTAAGATGCTTGATAATGACAATCCATGTCTTCTTCCGCCTGAAAAGAAATTGCAGCATACATTTATTTTTGCAATAGACATTGTTCACAGACAAACTTTAGTGGGGTAAAAAGAATCACACACTTTCTCTGTATTGATGTTGTCATGAATGTTGGGTTTAATATACTTACTTGCTACTTCCCTCATGTATTTTACAAATGCTGCATACACTTTGTTCTCTAGGGAACGACTGTTTGACCCTTCAGGACTAAATTCAGGCTTAAGCAAATGTACCAGCTGCTTCACTGTTAACATGTGGTGTGGGTTTCGTCTCAACAAGTGCAAGAACATTGGTAACTGACATCCAATCTGTGAAAATGTGAATAACCTCATTTAACACATGTATTACTTCATGGTGTCTTTAGAAACGGAGATTTAAAATAATCGAGAGTCCTACATGTACCTCACTTCAAAAATGAGCTTACGCTATCTTAAGGTCAGATTCTGTAAGGGAATAAATATCTACTGCTTTTTACCAAAAAGGACTAAATGTATAGTTTCAAATACAACACATCAAGATTGAAGTTTGGTTTAGCTAGGGAAGTTTTGAATGAGTTACAGTCATTCAAATTAATTTCATAAAGAAGTTTGTAGCATATGCATGTATCAAGAACAAGCCAGGATGGCTGCAGGCCTGGGAATGGACTCTTTTAGGGACTGGCCTGTATTTTGAGATTTGGAGCCAGCTTATTGTTCCTGGGAAATGAGTGGTATTTTTCAACAGCAAACACTCAAAACAGTATATCAACACCCACCTGGTGTATTCCAAGACATTTGAGACCATTTTGCAAGTGTTGGATGGCTGAATTTGGCTTTGATGAAGTGGAAAATATTTCTTCCAGGATCTCCTCTTCCAAAAAACGAGGCAATTTTCCATTTTGGAGGATACTTAGTCCTGTTATTAGAAAAGGCAGATTTATATAAGCATTCATGGAATGAAAACATGGAAACATGAAAACAGTTACTTGTTGAAGGTATTTTTTTCTCAATTTTAGTTTTTTATTTTTCTTATTTTCTGTGTTATACCTGGAAACTAGCTGGTGATCTTTTTTCACAAAAGCCAAGCATATATAACAATAAAACTTGACTTGACTTGAAGATTATTATATTCTTACCAAGTATTTTACCAACTATCTGGTAATCTTCCGCCAGATGATCTTTCAGTCCTTTCTCAAAATATTTGGCATGTATTTCGGAAAGAACCAGTCTGAAAAATTCTTTTCTTGGGCCGCCTAAATCCTCAGCTTCCTAAAATATAGACAGTAAAAAAGTGATTGTATTTATGCCTATCAAGAGAGGGTTTGCATCAACACTGTATATGGGCTACAGTGCCACGTTTGGTCTGTAAATGAGATTGGAAAAATTGTCAATCATTTTATGCTATGTTGATATAATTGTGTTTCACCAAAATAACACACTTTCAATGCTGGACATAATGTAATTTAAAAATAGTATAAACTAAAAATGTGCAAAAATAACCAGTGGCTTAAGAACCACCAGGCTACAATTTACCATTTAAGCACCCACTGAGAAATTACATGTAGACTGGTTCTCATATGACAGGTTTTACTTATAAGCTTTATTGGGTCATTGTAAAAACTTACATCATGAGTTGAGTCTGAGTACCAAATTTACTGATGCAAGAAAAATGTCTAATTTAGGATTATAATTTTGTACTCAATCTATCTTCTACAGTGATACTTACTGAACATTGTAATAACTTACCAATGAATAGATCACTGATGAATTATCATTATTAGTTTAGTTATAATTGTATTTTTATTATTTTTTAATTGACATAAAAAATTAAAGATCATGATATAACTGACTACCTAATTGTGAATGGCACAAATAGTCTAATACAGTGATCAATGATATTTGTAAGTTGTAATATGTACTGTACATGTAAGGAGATCAAATTCAACTTTTAATTGAGGCATAAAATCGAGATGATTGTAACTTTTTTTTTTTAATTCTAGATACTTGGCATCCAGGATATAATCCACGTTTTGTTAATACACCAACTGTTATCACCTTGGTTGGTTTGCCAGCAAGGGGCAAAACATATATGGCCAAAAAACTGGGTCGTTATCTCAACTGGATCAGCATCAAAACAAAAGGCAAGGCTCTTCCACTACAAAAATAAAAATACATGAAAGTGTATAATTTTATTAATGGTATCAAGCGGGGCTGTGGCTACCTCAGTAAGTGCTGGGTGCTGGTGAAATTTGCCGCATGAAAAAGCGGTGATAAGTGGCTGGATCTTTGGCCCACATTTGTTTGGTAAAACATAACAGGCACTTCTAAGGTTACACTGACTTACAATCCTTTGCCATCTTTGAGCATCCTCACTTAAAATTTTAGCTGGCAGCATAATTCTCTGCCATGACCCTGATCATTAGTCCCTCCAAAACCTTCTATGCTGTTTATGAATCAGATTTTTAACTCTGTCCCAGTCTTTTCTATTACATGTATCAACAAGTTGAACTATGTGAAAAATAAGGATATAGAACAGAGTGGACTTTTAAGCAAATGTCTGCAGGGATTTTTGTACCTCTTAAGTTAGCCACCAAAAGCCATTCATTGTTTTGGTGAACTGCTTTTAATTCTTTCATTAAATATGTAAGCCAATCTGAAAATGTGGGTCATAAGATGTTTAATTGTGGATCACATGCCAAACCCCAAATTTGAGTCTCTCTCTTCCCACAAGCTGCATTTGCTAAAAGGGATTTACATGACCCAAAATGAAATGTAAAAATGCACTGTTACAGTACTGTATATTATACAGTCAGCTGTCCTTGAATGGGATTTCTGCTTAAATTAATCTTTAATTATTATTTTTTTCTGGGAGAGTATATCCTTATCATTTGAAACTGGGTGCCTTCACTTGTTGAAAACACAAGGTGCAAGTAGCAAGGAGTTAGGTACAGTACAATATGGTGGTCATTATGGTGACTAGCATTAAGTACATTTGTGTGCTTGACTCAATAAAAAGGTTGGGTTCAATCTCTGGCTATAGCTATTAACTTTTCACTAGGCATAATTTCTCTCCCCTGCTCTGCATTGACCTTATCTGGGCTTTGACCTGTAGTCCAGCACACTTTTTATAAATTCATCCTGTTTTCTACGTATATAAATAAAGTGATACCTGTATTGAGATGATTATTGATAACAGTTGTTGTTTAATACACATGTATATAATTATATGATCGTACATGTATATGCATGATGGTAGGATTATTGTCTTCAAATAATGAATTAAATTTTGACAAAAGTTAATGGCTTGTGATATAAACTGAGGTAAGAAGTTTTGGAAAGTTTTTTGAAAGCCACATGCAAATGGTGATTTCTTTTCTTTATTTAGTGTTCAATGTTGGTGAGTATAGAAGAAGGGCAGTGGGGTCTGATAAACTACATGACTTTTTCCGTGTGGACAATGCAGAAGCACAAAAAGTTAGGAGGTGTGTGCATNATAGAGGTTTTGCACAGCAGCCATGTTGGATGGCAGGAACAATAGATTATTTTACCCATGGGAAAAAAATTTCTTTCTTATGCAAAATATTTTCATTGTTCCTGCCATCCAACATGGCTGCTGTGCAAAACCTCTATAATTTGCTTGGTGGTCCATTTGTTTGTTGGTGCATTTGTTTTTTTTTTGGTTGCTCCTCTAGTCAACCGACCAGAAAATAATGAAGAGAAGCAGCATTCATTAGTCCTTACACCCACCTGTTTGTCCACTCATTTGTTCACTCATTTATCTTTGATCTCATTATTTATTGGTAAACTCCATGAGCTATTCTATTTGTCGGTTGTTAGCTGAAATTAAACACAGCTAGGTCAAATGAACAATTCCTATTTTAAGCATCTGATTTTTAAATATGACGTAGCTTTGTAAATAGTATTTTTTGGAAGGTTTGTAACATAACTTATGTAATTTTATTTTATGAATTAATAAATATTTTAATATTATTATTATTATTATTATTATTATTATTATCGCAGAGAAATCAACTGAATGCTACATTCTAATCAAGCAGCACAGGGCGAAAACCGTAACCTGTGAGCCGTGGAGTAAGAAATAAATGTATATTAACTAATCCTAAAAAGCTTTTCCGTTGTGTCTACGGTCCTCCCTCTAACAGGAACTCAAACTGCGTCCTTGAAAGTCCAGGCAATACTCAGCATGCCCCAGAGCACTGCCCTCTGCATCTTTTGCAGTACATCTGTGCTTCTGCCTCCCACCAACTTTCACATCATGACATCCAGCTCCCGTGATCACCCCCCGAAGGCATCCATGATGATGTTATATTGCTTCACCTTGTAGCCTGGGAAGTGCTGCCTTAGTTCCCAGTGAAGAGGTCCGTACTTTATTGTCTTCTCTTCATCCTTTATTGTCCGATTGTTAACCCACGGGCAGCTCATTTCCAGCGTCACAACTCTCTTGCACATAATTATGATTTACAATGCGTGCATCCACCCTATTGCATCTGACCTCTTGTTGATCAGCGTATATATAGAGATATCCTAATAAGCTTTAACATTCTCTGACTCATGCACGGGCTTGGGCTTGTCAGGTGAGTACCAGGGTGGTATCTCGTCTTTAACTCCCTCATCATACAACAGTTCGTAAAACATTACCTTCAGTGCTGCGTTGTGTCTAGAGAGATACTTGCTCTGGGCCAGCGCACTATATCCTGACAAGATATGAGCCATGCTCTCTGGAGCCTTACCGCATAATCTGCACATCACCTCGGCTTCCCCGCTTATGTGGGTCTTCTGACTCGTGTATACTCGCTTTGGCAAGAGCTGCTCGTATAGCTCGACTCGCTTATTATCATCATCATTATCATTAGGAGGTTTGGGGATATTCAGGGTACTGCTTTGTGACTGCAAAATAATCTTTATCAGTAGCAATGTTATGTTGAATTCCAAGCACCTGGAATATTTTGCATTACTGGCCAGTGCTTTATTACTACAAAATAAAAGGCAAAGACCAAGGGCAACAATTCCTACAAACTTTTAAAAGTTGCAATAAAATTCTTGATGCTAGTATTATTGGAGGAAGCTAGGCTCTCTTTCAGTAAGAATGTGTAATCATTGTGATATTGTAATGTTCAGCTTTCATTTTTTGTTAAGGTTTTAAACTTCTTAAACTAGATTATGCTGTGGCTCGCTGAATTTGCTTTTTTCATTTGGTTTTTAGGTAATGGGACATGAATCTCTTAGTAATGAGGAGTTTGAAACATGGAAGGTATGGGTAGACTCTCCAGCTTCAACCTTACCTCCACAGGAAGTTAAAGTGTTCAGCCCAGACTATGTGACTGTGGACCGAGATACAGCTGTCAAAGATTTCAAGAAGCGTATCAAGCACTACGAGGATGCATATGAACCGCTTTCATTCGAAAAAGAGGGGTGAGTTTAAACTTTTCATGCTACAACTTATAAAAATAATAAAACAACAACAACCTTTTGATATGGTTTGTTAACCTTCTGCTCCCCAGCATCCGTATAGATAGTATTCTCCACACTGTTCTCTATACATTTCCTAAGGTGCTGCAAGGAGAATTTGAGTAACAATCAAGAGCTTCTTTAATAAATGATCATTTCCTTTATTCTTGTGACCTTAATGTGTGATTCAGGGGGGGGGGGGAAATAATGCTGGGAGAAATGAGATGGTAACAATAATAATAATGGATCAGAGTTGAATTACCCCTGGCTGATCTTTCTTTCATCCCTACTTACTCCACTCACCTCTCTTTCAATTTGACTTCCTCTCACCTTGGTTCTTTCTCCTTTCTCTCCTGGTCATTCCTACATCTTCATGCACTGTCTATCATATATACTTCCATCAGCATTCTTCCCTTCTTTTCCATCCACCATACATTCTTACATTTACATTTTACATTTTTACATTTATATAGCACAGACTTCTACGTGGATATATTAAGCCGCGCTTAACAGTATCGTAAGGTTGAGATGGGACGTCCCTGTGCATCATATTCATTTTGATTGCTTGATCATACCATTTGTCCTCCCTGAACCCATCCTTACTTCTTGACTTCTAACGAATTTGTGACGATGCTCACTGTATGATACGTCCCCTCCCCCCCCCACCTCTCCACTAACAAAAAAAGAAAAAAAAAATCAAATTAAGGAAAAAAAAAAGACAGCAACAAAACAAACGAAAAGAAATCGATTTGGAGATTATAGATGAAGGCATACGTAATAAATCGTTTATTTATTCATCTGTTTATTTATTTTTTTCATTTAAAGGCATCTATCATTTATCAAGATCATCAATGCTGGAGAACAGTACATGATAAACGGCATTGATGGTAAGTGTTGACGATTATTAATGAAATATACATTTACATTATAAAGTAAATGTAATTATAATCTTTAGCATTTGCTATCTTAGAAAAGAGATTGTTCAAGTTACTTCAAGAGGGTAAACTTGTGAACGCTATTTGAGAAACAAAGTTGTAAAGACTTTTACATCTTTGTATCAAGTTCTTTCTATATTGTTCGGTAGGTTACCTTCAAAGCAGAGCAGTCTATTTTTTGATGAACTCCCACATCAAGAAGAGATCAATATATCTTGCCAGGGTGAGCTTTATTTCTTTTTCTATTTTCTGCAGGATGAGAGGAGTTGTTCAAAGTGCGAATATAGGTGTAGACGTAGTTAACCTCGCAACTAACCCAGAATTTATTAAAGTTTTGGGGGTAACGAACCAACACCTTAGGAACATTCTATAGTTTATGCACAATATAAAAACAATTTAAGATACAGTTTAACTGTGGGATGATGGTCTTAAACTTGCCTGCTTTATGGTGGCAAAGCGAACGCGCACTAAATATTTTATATACCTCACAAATACTATATAAAAAGTACAAAAAAAAAAGATTATGTTTCAATATTTTAACACACATGTGGTCTTCAACTTTACTTGGGTTCATTTTAGCACGGTGAAAGTGAATTTACTGTTCAAAAGAGACTTGGGGGAGATTCTGATCTGACAGCTAAAGGAGAAGAGGTATGTTTGTGTCGTAAACAATTATAATTGAGTATTAGGAACCCCTTGCAGTCAGGACAACAACGTAGAGGAAGACGTCGATTAAAAAATAAAGTTATATCCTTATTTAGAATTTCGTGAATGGCTAGATGTGTTACCGTCTCTCGCGGCACCACACCTCAGTGTCAGCATCACGTGCGTGAGCATTGATGAGTTCCAAATAGGGACTTGAGTAACTTACAGTTGGGGTTCCCTTTCTCAGATCACCCGAATTGGGGTGATTTCACTCTGTTGTTTTGACGTTGCTGTGCAATATCCATGAATGGATTATACCAACTTCACTCTCTTTTCTCTACTTCATTCTTCTTTTCTTTACTTCAGTTTTCTTCAGCACTGGCGAAATTCATCGAAGATGAGAAAATCAAAGATTTGAAGGTTTGCAGTTAAATGTCATATTACGAGTAAAGGCTGAAAGTTTCTAAATTAGTGAAATGAAAGGCATTCGTTGATACCTGTGAGATTAAGAGTGCCCATTTGAAAGATTAACTTTTGTTCGACAGTTTTGCGGCTTTCCGTGCTGCCTAAATGTAAGGAAATACCGCAGATTACTATATGTTGTGTAGAATGATTAGGTAAATTAGAGTGTTTAGCGACAGGTTTAGATGCGTCCTTTTCATTCCTTTCCACGTCGCGAAGGTGTTCTCAGAATCGGTCACCTAGTCGTCTACCTGTTTCGCCGATGTATAACTTTTTGCAATAAGTGCAAGTTATGCAATAGATAACATTGGCGGAGCTGCACTTGAAGTGATCGCTGATCTTAATGGATCGCTTGGGTCCCGATATTTTCTGAGCGTTGTGAATGAAGGGACAAGTTTTGCATCGTGCGCGAGCGCATTTAAAAGTGCCGGGTTGGTCATTAGTTTGGAATGAACTTCTGACCAAAAAATTGCCTATGTTTTTGTCGCGTTTGAATGAAATAAGTGGAGGTTGCGAAAAGATAGTGCCAGTCTCTRGATCGTTTTGAAGTAATTTGAAGTTTATAAGAATAATGGATTTAACTGAGTGGTTGTGAGGGTGAAACGTGAGAGTGAATGGAATGCGGTCGGAATTTTCCTTCTGTGACGTTTGTAGTGCTGACTGTCGATCAATAAGTTGGGCGCGGTGGTGACCCGCTTGAACGACAGAAACAGGGTAACCACGTTTTTCGAAAAACTGGCCCATTGACTCTGATTTGTGGTTAAAATCAGAGTCATCACCACATAAACGACGAAGTCTTAGAAACTGAGAAAAGGGGATGGAATTCTTAACATGAGATGGATGCGAAGATCAATACAACAAGTAACTATGCGAATCTGTGGGTTTGTAATACACACTAGTGGATAAACCGTTGCCTTCAATTGAAACTTTGATATCTAGAAAGGATAATTATCTCGAAATTAAACATTGATCGGTTTTGGATCTAATCAAGTTTTTTTTTTATCGTATATGAAAAATTCAACACGGTCCTATTTAAGATGCGAAAGGTATAATCAGTCTTACCATATCCTCTAATCTTGTTCAGTCGTTGAATTAGTTGAGTCAAGAGAATATATGCCCTTGGTTGAATGGAAAGGTGCGTGTTCAACGATCTAATCGCATCGCATTTAAGAGAGGCTACTCTTTGGATCGTGTAATTTCGTTCTTAAAATAGTGAGAAAGTTTTTTTTTTTTTGTTTTTGTTTACGTGAATTTTAGGTTTGGACAAGTGAGTTAAAAAGGGAGGTGGATACAGCTCAGTATCTCAAAGGTGTGACGACTGAGAGATGGAAGGCACTCAACGAAATGGACCATGTAAGCTGTTCTTTGTAGCTGTGGGGGAAAATTAGAAGTGATGTTCATTTTTTTTGGTTCTTTCTTTATTGGTTGCCTACCTTTAAATATTCGTCTCTGTTTACGCGAAGGGCCTTGCGAGGTTATCGACTCTAATGGGGTTATTGTGTAATATTCTCCATACCGAGTCTTTGTAAATGTTATTTAAAGATATTTTAGGTAGTCACACTTCTAGCTGATCCATCAATCTGACCGGTTATTTTTGTGGTAGGTTCTGGACATATATCAGACAAGTTTTCGTGCTTGTTTTGAATTGTTCTGTCGTTTCGTTTTTCCAGACTTTTCTTGTATAAATTAAAATGATTACCAAAGAAAGGTACTTCCTAATTTTAATTGTTTGTTTGTTTGTTTCGTGTTTCCTTTTGTTTTGGTTGCTCTTTTCTCAGGGTATCTATGATGGAATGACTCTGGATGAGATAAAAAAGATGGACCCTGAAGAACACAAAGTTATTGAAGAACATCCGTTTAATTATCGATACCCCAGTGGAGAGGTAACGTGTCCTTTTTTCGATGAATTTCACTCTTTCCCCCTCACAATGTGGCATGTACCTTAGTTCTAGTTTACAGGGATAGCACTCGGCAGTTGTATAGAAACACTGATGAATTCATGGCCCTCATGGAATAAACTAGAGCAAAAAATCTAAATCAATCAATCAATTAATTCTAAGATCTTTACTTTTTCTTTGTCCTGTTTTAGTCGTACAGTGACGTGTGCGCTCGACTAGAACCAGTTATAATGGTAAGTTAACAATCCAGAGCAATTTCTGCATAGTGCACGAACTTAAACGTCTATAATACATTTTAATACGCCTTCTTACTTTGTTTTACTTTAGAAATTAGAAAGGCAGTCCAATGTCTTGGTCATTTGTCACGAGGTAAGTTTTCGTCCCAACTCGCTGGCTTCATCCTTTTGCAGACCGCTATGCTCTCATCTTTCATGATTTGATACAGTGACTCAAATAACAAAGGAAATGTTTTGTTTGTTTGCTTGTTTGTTTTCTTTTTCCCAGTCCTCGCTTTTCTTCTTTTTGGTGTTTATGTTTGGTTTAGTTAGTTTGTTTTTTTTCTTAAGCTGATAATTGAGAACAAGCAGACAAGCAAACAAACAAACAAACAAACAAACAAAAAAGCAACAACAAACAAACAAAATCGAAACCAATTAATCATCTTGTTTTGACGCGGTCGCGTTTTACTTTGTTCTTTGTATAGGCTATCCTGCAGTGTCTTATGGCATACTTCCTAGACCACAGTTCAGGTACGTTTTGCAAACTAACTCTTACAATCAAATCTAGCTCCAATATCAGATTATAGCACAGATGAGTCCTATAGCAAAAAGAAATAACTTGTATTCTCTCTTTAGGAGAACTTCCAAATCTTCACTTTCCTCTTCACACAGTCTTCAAATTGACGCCAATTGCTTATGGTGAGTTCAAAATGAAGTGTTAAATCATTTGATGAGTTCATTAAATCACTGGATCTAGTTTGTTAGGCGATTTGATTGAAGAAAACGTTTTCGTTGCTACGACATTTCCAATCCTACAATCTTCGAAAACATTCTTGGAAAACTTGGGACATTTTCATAGCATGTGAACACCAGTGCCTCACGTCCTGCTTATAATGTTCAATAATGTTTTCAATATTGGAGAGAAAGGGTAGCTGAAAGAGCTAGGAACTTTCTTTGGAGAATAATTTTTATATAGCACGTATGGACGTTACATTAAAAGTGCTCCAAAAACTTTTGACGAGCGGTGTACAGAGAGTTTGTCACATACGGAGCGATTGTATGGCGTATCTCACGAACGATTTCGTCGTTGCTTAGTTGGTCGAGTGTGCGACCGCGAAACTGAAGGGACTGACGTCCAAATCCTAGTGTTCGAAAACTGAACTCAAAATTTACTACAATTCTTTCCTTTGCGGTTTTTGTTTGTGATTTCAGGCTGCAGAGTAGAGAGGTATCCACACTCCCCCGTGACTGGGACAAGCCTACCTGGTTCGGGAAGGTAAGGGACTTCGGCTTCTTCTAAACTTTCTTGTTACCTCAGAGGGTCAAAACCTCACACTGTGACAAGGAATCGAAATGCGACTACTATAGCGCGGTATAATGGCTTCCTTTTGCCTCAATTCCTAGCCTTTTTTAACTTGTTCTTTTGTATGGCACGCTAACTGACAGCTGTGTAGGCTAAAATAGATCAGAACCCTTAGGGAAAAAGATGCTCCTATCCCATCTGTAAGCAAAGGAAAGAAAGAAATCCGCTATTCAAATGTAGTTTTATTTTGCGATGATTATCAATCGTGGTTATTAACCCTTCCTTCTGCTTTGGAACGATTTCCAACGGTCATCACACCACGATAAAGTTTACATAAAACACAAAATTTAACCTTGCTTTTGAGAGGGGAAAAGTCAGTTTGATTCTTATCACGTGAAGTGTGTCTTTTACTTTCCTGGTAGAAGGATTCATTTCCTTGGTGTGCAAGCGTGACTAAAGAAAGATCGGCTTTTAAAAGATATGTCATACGATTAAGCCTTTTTCTCAAGAGAGTAAAAACCAGTACCGGCTCTTAATTTGGAAATATGAAAATTGTTGTTATTTCAGTACATAAAGGCTCAAAGGAAGAACACAAGACGACGCCACATCTACGCTCATTTATACTTAGAGGATGTAACATAAAACTCGTGATACTGGCAGAGCCTCGTCGTAGGAATCGAATTCACCATTACAAGTCGGTAGACATTATTCCGTCACCTGGTTGATCTGTGAATTACATGCTCTTCCCTAATTGGTCGGAGTTTCATAAGCAGTTAGGGACAGTAACTTAAGCAGTATTGATCAAGCCTGCTTACATGTTCAGGAGCTCTCAACTTTAGTTAAAAAAAAAAAAAAAAAAGATCAGGAAACGATGTAACAGTTATGATCATCGACATGGTTTGGCGTTATAAGGCAGTCGTAAATATTGCTGAGTTCAAAAGAACTGAAGCTTAATCAAGATTTAGTCTCAATAATTTTTCGTTCGTATTATTAGTGAAATATAGACAGAAGTGTACATGTGGGTAGAAAGTATGGGAAACTTTCATGGATTCGGGATATTGTAAATACATGTACCATACCTGAATCAAAGCAATTAATAACTGTACGTCGACAGGCACATCATCAGATTATCATAAGTCAGATTATCATGAGATAATTTTGGAGCAACTTTGTCAATAACTAAAATTAAATGTTTTTGGGGTAATGTCTGCGGGAACTGAGTCCGGCAAAACAGTGTACACCAACTACATAGACTTCGAATTAGTTACTTCAATTTATAGGTATAAAGAAAAAGCTTTATGAGCCGAATGAGCTAAAGCTCTGTTTGTATTGGAATTACATTTAACAATCATTCCACGTGCGCGCGTTGGATATGAGATGATAGATAGCCAACTCGGCGCTACGCGCCTCGTTGGCTATAATCATCTCATATCCAACAAGCGCGAGTGGAATAATTGTTTTATTAAAAACGTTAAATTAAATTATTAAATTTTATTAAATTTTTAGCTCCCTTTTAATTTTAAGCTGACACGTACGCTTACCATATTTGTAGATTATGGTATATTGGCTGATATACCATAATGGCTAAGCCAATAAAAAGTCTTGAATTGCATTATCCAATGATCTAGTTTTTAATAANAAGTCAGATTATCATCAGATAATTTTGGAGCAACTTTGTCAAATAACTAAAATTAAATGTTTTTGGGGTAATGTCTGCCGGAACTGAGTCCGGCAAAACAGAGCACACCAACTGCATAGACTTCGAATTAGTTACTTAAATTTATAGGTATAAAGAAAAAGCTTTATGAGCCGAATGAGCTAAAGCTCTGTTTGTATTGGAATTACATTTATAATTAGTCATTACATAGCGCGTATGTATATGACAAGGGAAGCAGTAGGGATAGAATTATACTTAGGTATTGGTGTGTAAATATAATAATTGTGGATATGTTTTGATCATAACACAACTAGAAAACTTACTTTCGTGTCACACTTTTGTTTCCAGCGTAAAGCAACGAGACTTACGTCCAAAACTTAACTTTGTATCTCACCTGATCAAGTTTTTGAGTGAGGACATGATGCTTAACGAATTCCAGAAGTTAATTGATAAAAGATTTAAATACTGTAAGGTTGGTTTTGTTGATCTCGGATCCAAACTTTCAATAAATGATGAACATGATAAAGCAGCCACCATACTAATTACTTGCCATCTCCTCTTCGTATACCACTGATAAAACCTTTTCACCCTTTGCTCTTATGTCAATGTTAGCAGCGGGAAAATTCTACTCTAAAAAAATTACACACGACAAAAATTACAAACTGAGCTTTTTTGCACAATGAAGTGGACGTGGAAGGATGACGGGCAGGATTTAGCAGCTTGCTCAATAATATAAGGCAGATTAAAGATCATGCAGTGGTAAATCGAGCGGGATAAGGTGATTTGAGTTTCTTCGAAAGAGTTGCAATACGCCTGCCCTTAACTCTGGCATACGCAGGGCGTAGATGATAGGATTTATCAGCGAATTCGCAAGCAAAATAGTCTGCCATGTCATATCAACATGGAATTCTGACTCGAAAGTTAGCTGTGGCACAGAATGGAACGTGGGTAGACATTGATATGTGACCAGCGGCAACCAAGTGATTACAGATCCAAGAGTTACAAGAAACAAGGTACTGGTGAGTTTTTTATCTCTGTGGCCAGCAGCTCCAAGATGTTGAAGATGACGACTGCAGCGTACTTTGAAAAGTATACAGGCATAAGAAATTACAATGATCAAAAGAGGAATTAAGAAACATGAAATGTAAAAGATGTAGTAGCTTAGCTCGTTTGAAATGATCAGTTGTTCAGTTGCTTGTATGCTTGCTGTAATGATCCAAAAGGCAATGATCGCAGTTCCATAAACCCATTTTTCCATAAAAAGATGGTTAAATGGACAATCTGTTGCGTGCAGTCGTTCCAAAGAAACAACAGCGAGATTAAAGAGCGAGACAACGGGAAAAAATCCCAATGCCGCTTTTAAGCGAAGTAAAGAGATATCAAGATTGAAGTTCCACAATTGACAAAACTTTGCCATTCTGAATTCGATCTGATGAGGTCCTGAGACTGCCGCGGCTAGGAGATCGATTACCGCCAAATGAATGATCTAGTATGTACTTTGGCGCTGTAGGTGGCGCTGCTTCACAAATAAAACAATGGTGTTTATATTGAAGATGGCTATGGCTAGACATTCAATGATAAGCACAAAAAGCCACGGGATACAGTGGTAGACAGGAACTGGCATCTCTTCCTCTTCACCCGTCTTATTATGACTACTGTAGGTGTTGTTATGAGCCATTGAATTCCTCCTGAAAAATCAATTAGTTGTTCTGAAAATTTGTTCGCTTCTACCCAAGGCTTACACCATTCGATGAAACATCAACTCCCCGTGAGGAACTTGGACATAATTGTTTGCTAAACATTAGCTTACTGCCACTTAAAACAGACACCTTATTGAGTACTCATTTGCTTTGTCAGGGGTTGTTGTTCTTAATCGCAAGTTATTGTATCAAGTCTCAAGTCTCAAGTCTCAAGTAATTCTTTCCACCTTGATACTAGGCAAATGATACACTCACTGATGGCAAGAGGTGTTTATCCGACTTCCACCATCTATCACCCAACAAAGGAGCCACGCAATAATGTTCGATCCTTAATTGTGGATGATTGTTCGAAAAGCAATTTAAACTATCGACTCAATCCCTTCAAAATGAAAAAAGATACCCTATAAAGACAGCATACAGATACTAAACCCTGCATGTTACCTACTTCAATAGTTTTTCGTCATTTCTAATTTGATACTTCAAACATTTTGCGGCTCCTCCTACCCGGTTATATTTGACATTGCCGCTTCTTTTAGACTGAGGAATTTTGATCAAAGATTACGCTTCGATTTTTCGAAAGCAAACTTTGAAATTTTGAATAATTATCTTGCATTGTTGCCTCTTGGCTGCGGTGTAAACAATATCAAGTCCAGAGAGGAACTGGACACGCACTGGGACTTTTGGTGCGATCTTGTTATTTCAACCATCAATGATTCTATTCCTAAAGTGAAATGTCGTAATCCTAATTTTCCACCTTGAATTTCCAAAGATCTAGCCAAAGCAATTAAGAAAAAGAAAACTCTGTGGAAAAAAGTCAGAAAGTCCACTGATGCTTCGCTTCGCGAAAAATTCCGTAGAGAGCGTCAAAGAATCAAGAACTGGACTCGTGCCGAGAGAATCGAAAACGCTTTTTTCGCGACGTTGCTAACAAGGCCTATTCTAACCCTAAGAAATTTTGGTCAGTTTTTCCCTTCAAGAATCGTAAAAATTGACACCATTGTTTACGAAGGCATGGAATCCAGCATTGATTGCGCCAAAGCTGAATCATTTCTTCGTTTCTTCCAATCCGTCTACTCTGACCATGGCTCATGTACTTCCCCTTCAGTGGTCGGAAGTAATCCTCTAATAACTGAATCTTTGAATTTGATCGAAGTATCAACCTTTCAGGTTACTACACTGTTACAAGAGCTAGACTGTTCTAAAGCTCCTGGTCCTGACAATATTCCTACTGTTGCCTTGAAAAAATGT